TAATATAACATTTTATAAAGATAATAATTAAGTATTCTGTTAGAACTCAATGATTATCCTAATTATATTTTAGATTTTTTATATTTAAAATTGATATGTTTATCATGTATTTATGTTTATCTGCAGTTAATTACACGAATTCAGATATGGAGCTTTAATAAGTTGTACTTACGCACAATCAACTTGTAATAGTGAGTTTTAAGTAATATGCATTAATAAACAGTACTTTATGCATAAAAAATGATTTTTAAGAGTTTTTGTCAAATGTTTTATAATATAGTATAGATATAAAGATAATAATTAAGTATTATGTTAGAACTCAATTATTATCCTAATTATATTTTAGATTTTTTTTATATTTAAAATTGAGATGTTTATCATTATTTGATTATGTTTATCTTTAGTTAGTTACACAAATTCAGATATATGGCTTTAATAAGATGTACTTACGCACAATCTACTTGCTATATTGAGCTTTAAGTAATATGCATTAATAAACAGTACTTTATGCATAAAAAGTGGTTTTTAAGAGTTTTTGTCAAATGTTTTATAATATAGTATAGATATAAAGATAATAATTAAGTATTATGTTAGAACTCAATGATTATCCTAATTATATTTTAGATTTTTTATATTTAAAATTGAGATGTTTATCATTATTTGATTATATTTATCTTCAGTTAGTTACACAAATTCAAATATATAGCTTTAATAAGATGTACTTACGCACAATCTACTTGTTATATTGAGCTTTAAGTAACATGCATTAATAAACAGTACTTCATGCATAAAAAGTGGTTTTTAAGAGTTTTTGTCAAATGCTTTACAATATAGTATAGATAATCATAGTTATTTTATATATTTGGTTACTATGTTATGATGGTTCTTAGAGCATCTCCAACGGAGGTTCTTATAGGAACCTCATGTTTGCATTTGTTGTTGTCATCTCACTTTCAACTCATCAAATTAAGAACTTAGATAAATGTCTACAATAGTGGTTCTTACAAGAACATCTTTTTCGTGGGTTCCATATAATTTTTCAACATCAATAATTTTGGCTTCATTATTTGTTTTGCAATTGTTTTAATTTGTTTTGACAACTGTTACACAAACATAGGGGAATGGGGGACTCTTGGGGGTATCCAAGGGACGGGGAGAGGGTTTATTGGAGCAGGGTTTTTTTTTTCCGGGGGTGGTCCATCGGAGCATTGGAGGTGGATTGTAGGTTGACGCTAAAAAGTGGAGAAGAGAATGAGATGTGGGTCTTGATGTGTTGATCGGTGGTGACGTTATAGACAGAGTTAGTGAAGTTCACTAGTGATGATACAAATCGGGTTGTGTGTATATCAATACGTGTCTCAAGCTTTGTGCAAAAGGACGGAAATACCCTCAACTTCCAAAGGAGAAAATGGATGGATGTTACGGTGAGGAACCAAATCCAACAAAATGTGCAAACAACGAGTCCTAACTTGTAGTAAATAAAGTTTAAAGACCAAATTTGTAAAAACTACCAAACATTAGGGACCATATTCATAATTAACTCTAAAATTTTACTTAAAATAGGTTGTTTTAGCTAATATCGGGCATGGATACGACCGTTTTGGGAAAGCGGAGAAGATGCTGAAGGGCAGGGCTCACATGAGACGCGGAACACATATAAGGCATGGTCTGCTCCCTTATCCGACGGTCCAACCTTACCCATCATCTTTGCTAGGATCCCTTTTCATATGGTGACGAGAATATTTGAGAATTCATTAATGGAGGAGATTCTGTGAAAGATCCTTACTCCATCAACTGACAAAACCCCCCTTCCTTTATCTTTTTATCTTGCTGTTCTGCAATTCGACCATACTTGAATTCATCCATGACCATGAATTCTATTTCTTTCAAATGTTATCATCTTCCATCCTCTATCAAGGGTAGTAACGATTCTTTCAGTTTTGATTCATCGAAATCCATAATTCGATTCAATTTCGTAAACCCTAACCGTCGACGTATATCCTATGAGAATACCATTTCACGAAGTTCAGTTGTCTGTTCTTCTTCAGACGATGCAGCCGCCTCCGGTTCTGTACCTTCCGGGGATAACATCCCTAGGTTCGTTTCTGTATCGACGCTCGTTTTATTTTCGTTTTTTCGTTTCCCCCTTTGTGTAGTTACATGGATTTGATACTTTGTTGCACATAATATGTATTTGATAGAGGTTATTCGATCTTTCCATCTTCATATGAACAAAATCCAACATCTTTCTATGAGTAATTAGAAATTAATATTTCAAGGAGTTATGCTGTGTTTTTTACGAAGGAAAGGAAAGGAAGGGAAATTGAAACTTTTTTTTAGGGGTGTTTGAGATTTCTTATAAAAACAACTTATTAACTTATTCCGATTTGGTACAGGTAACAAACATTTTTGAGTGTTTGGATAAACAACTTATACCGGTGCCAAACCGGTAATAAGGAGTTTTTGAAGAAGTTAAATTTCCCTGATTTATAATAAGTTGATAAGTGCTTTTGTATATAAGTTGTTTCAAATAAGCAATCCCAAACACCCCTTAAGAGAGAAGAAGAAAGGAAACAAATCATTAAGTTTCCTTCCGGAACTTTCATCCCAGATGTGGGAGGAAAGGTCGGAAAAAAATTAAAACCCTTTAAAAAGATTATTAAAATTAAAAAACTATGGCCAATTTGGTTTGCGGGATTTGATTTGGATTCTCCAACCCCACTTTTGGTTCAGAGGAACAGCCTGATTTGAGATCCCGAGATTTTAATGAATTCCCACGAACATGCGATTTTTGGTATTTCACGGGATTTCATAGGACTTTTTTTCGTAATAACGTATTAGGGACACTTTTTTGTAATAATCAACGGATAAAAGGGTAATTTAATTACTTTTATAATCCATCATAATTTGTTTCTGTAAATTATTTACGAAGAATGGAATTCAACTCCATTCCAAATCCTGCAAAGATTCCAAACGTTACGTCAAACCAAACGAGTTAGATGTTTTTTTCAAAATCAAGAAACCAGCTATTTCATGTATTGTTCATGAATATCATTCATCACAAATATAATGCATTTTCTTGATAAATAGTATCATGTATTTCCATCATGAACATGATGCATTATTTGTCATGAATATCATGTACTTCCGTTAGAGTAAATTTCATCATGAATATGCAATTATCTATCAATACATTCATCATGAATCAAACATAAATAGTTGGATCTCAAGTTGTCAAAATATTTACAGTTCTCATTGAACATGCCCGTAATGTTTGATACAAGTTAAGGGGTTGTTTACCAAATTTTTTATTTAGTCCTGTATGGATAAATTTGTCTGTCTGGATAAATGAGKGTTGTTGTTTACTTTTTTTTATCTGAACCAACAGTCTGAATAACATAAATGACCGATTTACCCCCCAATATTAAATGTTTGAACATCAAAACAAAAAATCATAAATAGGCCGAAGATGGGGTGTCTCATATGGGAAGGAGGCGGTGCTTTAAATAAGGAGTAGGGGTGTCATTTTTGTGGCTGAATGGGGACAACATACCATTTCTATCTGTGCGATTAAGCCATGTTCTGTGCGAATAAGCCGTAAGTAAACAACCCAAATGAGCTGTGCGAATAAGCCAAATAGACCAATAAGCCTAATTAAGCCGCATGTAAACAAGGGTTAAAGAAAATAAATACATATAGCAAAATTCCACTACAATTTCAACTCAAGAAGGAGAACACATGCTTATTTTCAGTTTGATTGCCAATGCAGCAACTTTTGCATTATAGAAGGACCAGAGACTGTTCAAGATTTTGTTAAAATGCAATCGAAGGAAATCCAAGACAATATAAGGAGTAGGCGAAATAAGATCTTCCTCCTAATGGAAGAGGTACAATTTTTTATCTGAAACCGTTCTTTTTTGCACAATGATACCGTTTCTTCTTGCTATGTGTGTTTTTCTGTACGAAAATGGTCATCAGTGGCACGGAGATAACGAGTTCAACTTCACAGGTACGAAGGTTAAGAGTGCAACAACGCTTAAAAAATATAAAACTCAATGAGAGCAGCTCTGAGGACAACGAGATGCCCGACATTCCTTCTTCAATTCCTTTTCTACCTTCGGTGGTAAATTACTCTTTCTCCTGCATGTCTGAGGTTGTAGGCTTGTTTAAGAGTCGGCTGTATTGTTAAAAGCTCTCTTTTTTCAATGATGTACGAGACTGCGAATTTCTCTTGGTTGCATTCTACAGTTATTTTAATGTGTGCTTAATCTAGATAGAGAAGAGGGGGGGGGGGGTAAATAGTCATTTATGTCATTCAAACTATTTATTCAGCATAACAAACAAATGACGATTTAGTTTAATCCACATAGACAGCTTAATCCATATAGGGCTTAATGGAAAAACAACGAACAACCAATCAGTTGAAACCCAAGGTATCGTACATGCCAAAAAATTTGGAAGTTTTGGAGCTACATTGATTCTCGGTCATTTGAATCTTAAAATTATCACATAAAATATAATGCTCCCTCGGTCCCATTACAATTGTCGCAACTTCCATTCCTTGTTTTTGACAAGTTTGAAGCCAAAAATTACTTAATTGCCCATTGTCATCGTTACGAATTGTTGATGCTATTTATTTTCTTATACTAAATTTCCATGCTTTAGCATTATAAAAGGGTAGTTTTGACATTTGATGAATAATCGAACACTTTTATTAAGCTATATGTAGAGAAACATACGGAGGTTTCTCTTTAGATTGCTCTTTAATGTAAAGTAGGTGCTTTTTTTGGTACGTAAAGGTTAAGGGGCCGTTTACTAAATGTTTATCCGGTAAGTACTTACCGGGTAATTTCCCTCACCGGATGAACATGATAAATGCCAAGAATCTTACCCGGTAAGAGCGATGATAAGGATGGAGAATCCTACCCGGTAAGTGAGGGTGATGACTCTTACCCGGGTAAGCGCTTACCAGGTAAATTGTTGTATAGTATACATTTTGATATACTACAATCTTACCCAATAAAATAAATTATAGTGTTGACTCCTAATATTAAGCACTTACCGGGTAAGCATTTAGGTAAACGGCCCCTAAGTGTTTGTATTTAAGCACCTCTTAGTCTCTTAATATATTTTTACTGACCATCTTTGTTTTTATTATTTGACCTAGACCCCGAAGACGTTGAAGCAGCTCTATTTGACAAGTTTTTCGTTTATATCAGGAATTATAGTCTTCGGTGGCCTTCTTGCACCAATTGTAAGATCATATACTTGACATGGATTCAACTTTGATGTCAACCTTATTCTTCTAACATGATTATGCTTCTGAGCCACTCCCTCCATTCCAAAATAAGTATCCACAATTAAAAAAAACACACACAATTTAAGAAATACGTAATTATTTATTATTACACTTCTTAATTAGCCGAATGACAATTACGATAGAGGCACACATTCTCTCTCTATCACATCAACTCTTAAATATTATCGACGTCATAATTAAGGGTAGAGTTGAAAACTAAAGTAATCATAACTATTTATTTTTGAAAGTGGACCACTTATTTCGGGACAAACTTAAATAGAAATGTGGACACTTGTGACGATTCTAACATGGAAACTTATTTTCCATGTCAGTTGGAGCTAAAACTAGGTGTGGGTGGCACCTCATATGAAGATTTCATAAGCAATATGCATTTGCCTATGCAACTGAGGTATGTGGGATCAGTTACTAGTTACTATTATATCTGAGATCATACAAAAACAAACAATAACACAAATCTCTTTAATTATATTCATTTCAGTCAGGTTGATCCTATCGTGGCATCGTTTTCGGGTGGGGCAGTGGGTGTAATTTCGACTCTGATGCTGCTTGAAGCCAACAATGTCATGCAACAAGAGAAGAAAAGGTGCAAGTATTGCCATGGAACCGGTAAGTTGTTATTCCTTTTTTTTGTGTCGTTTTACTACTGACCGCCGCTTACTCTTACTGGGTAAGAGGTGCTTATCCCGTAAGAAGGGATGCTATTTACCAACACACTCTGACCCACAAATATGTTGACTGAGATGCTGACCTAGCAAGAAAGGGGTTCCTTTCTGACTCTGTCAGTGCTTTAGCGAGTCAGACATTTTGTAAACAACCATTTTTCATTTAGGGTTTACCCAGACACTTGGTAAACAATCATTTTACGGTTAGCTGGATAGAACCACTTACCCAGACTGCACTCTTACGCTGTGTTCTCGAGATCTTTTCTATGAAAGAAAGGAAAGAGAGGGGAAATAAGACGTACCAGTGTTCTCGAAATTGTTTAGGAGAGAAAGGAAAAGAATTGGAAGGAAAATAAATGGTAAAATTTCCTCCCAAATGTGGGAGTAAAGGGAAGGAGAGAATAAAAATCCCCTTGTGGCCACAGAGGTTCAAATGCGGTGACTCCGGGCTATCTGTAAAGCAGGTGGTCACCCTGGAATTAGTCGGCTCGCATAGCGGGTTGGGTAGAGGTCAGATTTGCATAAATCCAACCATCCGGGAGGGATCCCACCTCCATCTGGAACATATTGGGTTGGGTTGGTTTGGTTTGGAGTTGAAACATGAGTTTAATCCTTAACTTGAAAGAACAAGCTTCTAGTAGGATCCAAAAATATTTGTTTTCATTAAATGAGATATTCCGACTTGAACCAATTACAGGGTACTTGGCTTGCGCTCGATGTTCTTCCAGTGGCGTGTGCTTAAACATTGAGCCGATATCTGTATCAAATGCTTCTGATCGTCCATTACGAGCTCCCACTACTCGAAGGTGTCTGAGCTGCTCCGGGGCAGGAAAGGTATACTGAAAACCATACATTCAAGAAACTTCAGATAGTTGTAGGGACCATTTTCTTAGTGCTTATAGTCTCTTACTGGTTAAGTAGTGCTTCATGGGTATGAGATAATGTTGATTACCAACACGTTCTGATCAACAAATGTTGCTGACCTAGATGCAGACCCAGTAAGAGTAGAGAGACTTACAACTTAATGAGCTTAATAGTTTGGACGGCTTATTTGCTTAGCCATACGTGAGTGTTTCTTTATGTCTTAATCGTTAAGCCATTAAGCCAAAATGATTACATAGAAGAAGCCAGGACCCCTCACTTGTCCCCGTTAAGCCACCTCAAACAAATTAGTACCAGAAATGCCCCAGAAATAATCCAACCGTCTCTCTTTATCTCCCTCAAACCCATTGGTTCTCTGGTCCCTCTGATGGACAGACTTATCCAAACAGAAAACTTATCCAATATAGAGCTTAATGAAAACAAGTCAAAAACCCCTTACCAGTCGGCATTTTGCTCTACCCAATTCTTGTTTTCCAGTAAACGGACTCTTAGTTTCTTTTACTTTCTTGCACATATTTCTTAAACTTTTAATTATGGGTATGTTGGTTCAGGTAATGTGCCCGACGTGTCTTTGCACAGGAATGGTAATGGCGAGTGAACACGATCATCGTATAGACCCATTCGACTAAAGAGCCTTCTGTTAGAGCAATGCTGGTCTATAGCGGCAAACGGATGTATTTATCGGGCTAACACTCATAACGATAAGTCGTATAGCGGATTGCTGTTTCGATCACGGCATAGGTGTTGATGAACGTTCATATTTATATCCGTTTACCAATATGGTAAAACAAAGATGCATTTTAAACATACTAGTTGTTCTGTATGCGTGCGTAAAATAATGGGATTTAAAATTCTAGAGTAAATTACAAAATTGGTCCTTGTGGTTTATATCTAATGAAATAAGATTTCATTTACTTATTACTAATTTTAATGAAATTAACCACAAGGGTGGTGTCTGATTGGTTTGAGCTTGATTCCAAATGTTAGAAGTACCTGGCGGTCCCAGGTTCAAATCCAAAGAGGAATAAAAATTCCCTTGTGGCCACGGAGGTTTAAATGCGGTGACTCTGGGCTATCTACAAAGCAGGTGGTCGTCCTGGGATTAGTCGGCTCGCATAACGGGTTGGATATCCAGGTTAATCAAATAACAAAATTTATGAAATTATTTGATTTTTTTTTAATTATTAAAATTATAATAGTTTTGAAAACATAAAGTATAACTAGTTGTGTACCCGCGCAATGCGGCGGGAGCTGTGAATTTTAACGATTTTGAAGTTTCACTGGTTTTATTAGAGAAGATTTTACGATGATATAAGTTACACTTGGTTTAGGCAAGTAGTTATCGACAGTTTTTGATACTTACCGTTTAGGTTTTGAAGCTTCTGACCACTGCACCTCGTAAAAGGGCCCGACCCCTTGACTCCGACATTCAGTGATCCCGGATGCTAATTAACTTATACAAAAGTGATCTCCACAGCTCTTAGTTCATATCACAACTTAACTATAACACCTTTAGTCTTGTGTAAATCTTGACCAAACGGCCAATGATTACTAAATTAAACAGTGGGCTCATGTTAGACATAGTGAATTTAGAGAATATTTGAACTTCAACTAAAAAAGAAACCGGATATTTTTCGATTACATAATAACGATAGCTGAGAGTTTAGAAGCTCAAATCTCCTAAACCCGTCAACTGGCACAAACCATTGAACAGTTGGCTTTGCATTATTGCATACATGTGCCAATACGATCAGCGATCTCATCCCACTGCAAGCTCTTCCCATGAGTAACTATCTATTCCGACTTGTGGACTTGCATGAGAATGTCCGTAACAGTAGATATTTGCTTCGGTGGCGCAGTGGCCGCTGCAGCGATGGTGGCAGCGGAGGTAGCCGGATGAGAGTAGACTCTGAAGTTGGGAGTTTGGCCAGTAAGATGTTGAACAATTTCTTTAAACTGAGAAGCATCTGTAAAATAATAGTCTCGGTCATGGCCACTATATACAACAAATGTTGAGATATACCTTAGAAGCAGTGTAAGCATCCATTCCCCAGGTCAAAACAGCAGCAGAAACCACCATATCAACAGATGAATAGCAAATAAGCCAATACATTCAAAGTTTGGCAAAGACTCCACATGACCAAAGGAGCAAAGGTCTGATCTGTTTAGGCAATTAAATAAGTCAGTCTAAACCAGAACAAGAAAGAAACAGTGAACCATTTTCCAAAACACAACCCTACCACCAAAATTAGTCTATACACCAAGACAGCTGCACAAGATTGTAAAGGATATATTGGCCAATATTGAGACTTATATTAATACCACAAAACCACAACATATTGGCCAAACTGTGCAATATTTATTCCATCACCTCAAATCATTCACAGACCCAAACACCTCAAATCATTCCCAATACACTGCCATAAGTTATATATGATATGTGATGAAAAAAATGGTAATATTTAACAAAGAAAGAATTGAAACATTTTTGAGATGATATGTTGTTTTTTTGTTATTTGAGTTTGCAAACCCTGCGAAGTCTTTAAGACCAAACCTGTGTCATGGTCAACAAACCAAAATAATAGATAAGCAAATGCAAGTCACCAACACAAAAAATCTGTACATTATGCTTACAGTATAAAAGTATGCAAATAATTTCAGTATGAGACAACCATCCATATCTGTGGTGAAATCAATCATAAAAAGGGAAAACTTGAAATTGATTATTACACAAACAATTAATTCCACATAACACGCTTGATAGTATTAATCCAAATATTCGTTTTGAAAAATCACATTTATTAGTCAACAGCCGAATTTTTTAGATAGTTTTTCATATTCGATAATTATTGATAATGTAATAACCATTTATATAGAAAACTAAAACTAAGAAGCAATCGATACAGAAAAGGCAAATTTAGAAAAATGGAACTGACCGATTTCAGTAGCAATCGATAGAAAAAACCAATTCCAACCAAATCTCAAAGAGAGGCCGTCTTCAGTGCGGAAAGGAGCAGGACTGAAAAATGTGTTGGGTCTGTGAAGAAACAATTAGCAGGGTAATTGCATAATAACAATGAAAAGGGATAAGCAACAGGAAAAAAAATGTTCCAAGATTTCCAAATCTAACAAACAACCAAGGTTAGCGACGGTGTATACGGCGTGTGTGTGTATACACACACAATCAATGTATAAMCAGAAGAGCCAACAGAAGTTGGTACCTAAAGCATCAAGGATTGTACTGGAAAGGGGGCCAGTTGACAAATTTGTAGAAATGAAGTACTGGAAATTAAAAGCCATTTAAAAGACATAACAAACATTTCATCCACCATAAGTGGCAGACTGTAGAAAACAAATGAGTATCATTACACTTTCAATATTTAAAGATCCTTCAGATTCACAAGTTACCATTCACCATTCAATAAGATCATATCTTCCATCACTTCTTTTAACTGGGATTTCCATGCTTTTGCATTGTTCTACAATTAAATTAAATTAAATTAGAGTTAAAGGGAAGAAACTGCACATTGATGCAAAATATGAAGGTTCTATCAAGAAATACTCACTGCAACAAACATTATGGAAATCGTCTTAGGAGCCGTTTACCAAATGTTTAACCGCGTAAGCGCTTACCAAACATTACCTTACGGGATGAATATGGTAA